CTCGTGTCTCATACTCGTGGCACTGACTTGGCATTGATGTAAATGGAAATTTCCTAGCGATAGTTAAGGTTTTTGTATTGAGGTAGTAGTAAAGAGTTTTGTATGTGATTTCCGGCTCTGCATGAAGGCATAAGTAATCAGCTCTACAGCGGATGATAGCAAATCATTGTGGAAGCTGAAGTACTTTTAAGTTAACGCTGCCGTATAGTCGCAAAAACTGCCCAAAAGACAGTATATTTATTCACTGCCTCACCTGTCACCATCTCATTTAAAATATTCCAAAATGTCCTCAGAAGCTCCCTGAAACCCCAACCAATGGAATTCCAGAAATATTGTATGTATAGTACTCTAAACAAGTTAAGGAACACTGGCAGTTGAAGGGCTCTGTGTTGCAGTACCCAACACCTTGGACAGATTGTTTGTTTACAGTTATACGATAGCCCAGTCTCTAGCCCGGATCTTTACAGGTGTATGACAGATTAACTAGAGTCACATCTAAACACTAGGTCTCACTTAATTTGTTCTGAGTAGTTGCAATATTGATATATTCCATGTACGTCCTGATGTGATATATAGAGAATACAACACTCGGTCTCATTACTTACAAATTATACGAAACGAGTGTCCTTCCTATGGTATCTGACCAAGCGAAAGTGAGGTCAGAAACCATAGGAAGGTCATGGGTTTCATATAATTTGTATGTTATGAGACCGAGTGTGGTATTTTATTTATTACCCACGTCTTACATGCATTAAATTGACAAAATAGCATATTTTTGTTATTGTTATGGTTTCAAACCGAAACTGGCTTAATAAAGAGGTTGCGGCAGAATGTTGTTCTGTAGTACACTTTCTACATGGCGTCACACTGTAAGGATGTCACTACGCCTTGCTCGTCTGCCCCCTTGGTAACCGACGTCACCATGCATGTCAGTTGTCATCGCCTCGTACAGTCTTTTACATTAAACTACTCCGTAGCACCCCGTTTCTTAGTTCGCAGTTGCTTCACTCGGCTAAACTTACTGGTGGAAACTTTGCGTTTGTTTTTCAACGCATATAATGTCTCAGTTCGACTCACAATTAAACAACAAACTTTTGTTGATGCGGTATGCAGTGGTGAGCGTATTACCTCCCTTTATGAAACCTCGTGGCTAGGGTTTACCCAACATGCCATACAACTTCCTCTTTTTCTGGTCAAGAGCGAGCAGAATCGAGGAGAGGTGGGTGGACGTACCCCTAGGAAGACTTACTTCAAGGAATTGGAAACCTCTCCAGGTTTAGGTAATTCCTTTTCAGAAGAAGTCTTCCTTGGGGTACTCTAGCATGAATACAGACTCCCAGAGATAAGTAATGGAAGTGGTCGATTCTGCTAAGGGAGATAATACCGCTGCCCTATCGTCAACAGTCAAAACAATGGTCAGTTTGAAGGTAATGCTTACCTGGTGGCTCTTCAGACGACTCTATAACAATATAACTGACCTAGAGTCAAATACTCCCCTCCTGTGCCCGTCCAATCCAGTGCAAAGGCGTCGGAAGCTAATGCCCTTGGGTCTGGGATCCGAGAGCAGAACACAGGAATCTGATTTGTCCCCCCAGACGCAAACAGATCCACCTAGAACGGTCCGTACAACTGGGAAATAACCCTGAATGTCCTTCGATTGAGCATCCACTCGTGTGTGGCTAGGATTCACCTTGACAGGGCATCTGCTCGGACATTCTCCAGCTATGGAAGGTACACTGGGATCACAGACACATTGTACTGGTCGCACCACAGTAGGAACTGCCATGCCTCCCTGAGGAGCGGGCCAGACACAGTGCCGCCTTGCTTCAGGATATACGTCATTGCTGTCTGGTTGTCCATTTCTAGACGAACCGTCTGGTTGTGAACATGGTCCTTGAAGCTCTCGAAAACCAGTCTGACTGCTCTCAGTTCCAACACATTGATGTGCAAGCAAGTCTCCTTCTTGGACCAGAGGCCAGAAGCTGTGAGACTGCCGAGCACGCACGCGCGCACGCGCGCACGCGACGCACGCCTTGCGCTGCCTTACGCGCGCCGCACGCACAGCCGAAAAGGGACACATCTGTCTGAACTGAGAGAGATGGGGTCGAGGCCTTGAGAGGGAGCCCTCTCGAGAGATGCTCGACTTTGGTCCAAGATGAGCAAATAGCCACTGAGGAACCTCTATCTGAGTTTCGAGGTCCTGTGAGTGAGTCCATGATTGGGAAAGAGCCTGTTGGATTGGACGCATTCTTAGCCATCCTCTCCATACCACATCTACTGTAGCTGCCATGTGACCAAGCAGATGGAGCCAAGTCCGAGCTGGGGCCCTTGGCGCCGAGAGGAATGACAGAGTCGCTTCCCTCACCCTGTTGATGCGATTGGGGGATAGTGAAACTAACCCCTGTCCTGTACTGAATCTCGCCCCTAAGAAAATCAGGTCCTGAGACAGAACTAGCTCTGATTTCTTCAGGTTCACAATCCAACCCAGTCGAATGAGACTGTGAAACACTGCTTTGGTTGCCGACGTGCTTGATGCCTGTGCCAGAGCTCGGATCAACCAGTCGTCTAGGTAAGGGTGGCAAAACAGACCTTGTGACCTGGCGACCTGTGCAGGCACCATCATCAGTTTGGTAAACACCCTCGGGGCCGTAGCGAGACCAAATGGTAGCACTTTGAACTGATAACTCACTCCCTCAAATGAGAACCTGAGGTATCTCCTGAACGAGGGGTGTACTGGGGACATGTAAGTATGTATCCTTCAGGTCGATTGACGAAGGCCAATCTCCCGGCTATACTGAGGAGATCACTGAACACAGTGTCTCCATTTTGAAGGAAGGTACCTTTATCAGACGAATCAGTCTCCTCAAATTCAAAATGGGTCTGAAGCCTCCTTCTTTTTCCGGAACTAGGAAGTAAGTGGAGTAAACTCCTTCGTTTTCCTGTCCTACTGGTACTTTCCCGATCGCAGCCTTGTCTAGCAACGCTTTGATTTCGACTCGGAGGAAGTCTGCTTTCTCTGACTGGTTTGGCACTGGAGTGTGATGAATGCCTGAGAAATGTGGAGGGTCTTTCTTCCACTGCGGCATGTGGCCTTCCCTGACAGTGGACAAGACGCAGGGATTTGAAGAGACTTTTGCCCAGTCCGACAGGTCGTGGGCTAGTCGGCCACCAACAGGGATTTCTGGCAGAAGGCAGGCTGTGTCTGGGGGCTGAGTGTCCACGCCAGTCCCCACGGGTTCTGGCTGCAGAGGTTGAGGGAGGTTGGAGCCAGGAGCACCTTAGACTCCTTGAAAGAGCTCGCGGCCGCCGCTGCCTCCCTTACAATCTGCGCCGACCCTGGGAACTGAGCTCATAAGGGAGGGCAAGCAGGGTAGCCTGATGCTGTGGCAGGTAGCTAGTACAGCTCAGCCACAGTAGGCGCATGCCCATGACAGCACCCATTAAGCCGGCAGATGCAGAGCGCAATGCGTCCCTAGCTAGGTGCTGCCCTGCCTCAGCTAATTGACTAGAGAGGACAATGCCAGATGACGTGTCACCATTGTCCAGTTGGGTCCGAGCCAGGCTGCCTTGGAGGGAAGCCAGATAGACGCTGTGCACCGCCATCTGCATCTGCTGACCCGAATTACGATAGCTCTCCTCAAGAGCCTTGTAACCAGATCGCAGCATGTGCCCCGCATTAGAGAAAGGCGGCACAGGCCGGCCTTGTCTAGGCCCAGAGGTCGCCAGTGAAGTGGAGTTACCCCTACTAAGTGCTACCGAGGTTACAATGCACTCGTCCACCGCTGGGACCCGATAAAGCTTCTTTTCTCTCTCTCTCTCTCCTTGGTAAGAGGTGCATAAAAACAATTTGAATAAAAACTGCACCAAACAAGCATATAGTTATAGGCCGAGAGCGAGGGTGTACTGACGTTAGTTTGACCCTGCAAATTGGCGTTTAAGAAAAAGCACGGAAAATATGAATATTTATTGCGATTCCACGACGGCGAACGTAAAACGTTCTCCAAAAAGAATAAGGGAATACATACAGATGATTCTTGCGACATGATGACTAAGAGAAAGCTTAGATTCGTTTGGCTTGCAACGCTGTCGGAGAAAACACGTTTGACGTCAGCGATGGCCGAGAAAAAGAAGAAGTTGTATGATATGTTGGGTAAACCCTAGCCATGAGGTTTCATAAAAGGGAGGTAATACGCTCACCAGTGCATACCGCATCAACAAAAGTTTGTTGTTTAAAAAAAAATTAATAATTATAATTTGAAAACTTTTTTCACGACCATTAGACATGTTTTCGGTGAAAAAATGCTAGAGTACCCCAAGGAAGACATCCTGATGTGATATATTGATATATTCCATGAATATGTCATGATGATATATTGATATATTCCATTTACATCCTGATGTGATGTATTGATATATTCCATGAATATGTCATGATCATATATTGATATATTCCATGTACATCCTGATGTGATATATTCCATGAATATGTCATGATGATTTATTGATATATTCCATGTACATCCTGATGTCATGTATTGATATATTCCATGAATATGTCATGATGATATATTGATATATTCCATCTACATTTCGTGATGATGTATTGATATGCATGTATATTTCATGAACATATCATGATGATGTATTGATATATCCCATGAACATGTCATGATGATGTATTGATATATTCCATGTACGTCATGATGATGTATTGATATATTCCATGAATATGTCATGATGATATATTGATATATTCCATGTACATCCTGATGTGATATATTGATATATTCCATGTACATTTCATGATGTATTGATATATTCCATGTACATGTCATGATGATATATTGATATATTCCATGAACATGTCATGATGATATATTGATATATTCCATGAACATGTCATGATGATGTATTGATATATCCCATGAACATGTCATGATGATGTATTGATATATTCCATGTACATCTCCTGATGTATTGCTATATTCCATGTATTGCAGTGAGAGTACACCAGAAGGACGTCGGGTGACCCGTCTGGACAAACTGCTCCTCAATGGGAACAACATTACAATGGTAAGTTGAGACGTCAGCTTATATATTCATAATGATGACCATTTTTTCTGTTTTTATCTGATTGTTTTATCAGACCTGTCCCTTATCAAACATATGTCTCTGTCTCAGCCCCCACCTGGAATATGTGGTCTGGATATACATTCCATTAATATAGTCACCTGTTACACGACACTTGTACATGCCAAGTTAGCACTGCCAGGTACAAGCTATATTTTGACTGATAGTCAGGCTCCCGACCGACGTTACTCTGACTTGCACTGTATCATGTCCTGAAGGGCTGCTGGTGGATGAATCAGTATGAAAGTAATGATTGAGGAGAGCAGAATGTAAAATGTATTACAGAAACAAATATACTCCAAGTAAACAAGAGCCTGGGTAAGGTATGCAGACAGAACCAGTTTCTCTGACTCAGTAATGAACTGCCCACCAAAGAGAATTGCCAACTGGTGTTATAGTTTTTATCAAACTGATTTAAAAAAGAAATAATTAAATGCATGAGCTTGAACCACATCATCTTCAAGTTTGTTTGTGTTTTCAGCTTGTGCCTGGAGGCGAGGGACCAGAGATGACCTAGGTCACCCGAACAGGTTGAACACACTTCAGAGCAGTTGTCTGTCTTAAACTGTCAGTAACATGCTGACATTATGTCCACGAATGATTGACACTGACAAGGAAAGCGGTGCGTCACAGTGTTCACAGTCTGCATATGCTCTGTGGGTTCACTCAATAATTCTCAGAACAAAAGCTGAGAGAGATTAGTTATATGCCGCTTTTATCAATATTCCGGAAATATCACGGCAGGGGACTCTGAGAAGTATCACTCAGTGTGACAATTTATGTTTTTCATATTTTCTTTTGAAAAGAGGTATGTTTTGTTTAATATTAACACATAATGGTAATTTTTGTATAATTTATTAATACAGTGAATCATCATTAACTCCAAATGCTTCAGCTGAACATTTGCCTGTTGTGGTTTGACATTAGGACTTGCCTTGACTGCAGGGACCCTCGTAGGTTTCATTGGTACCCAGGTATTACTTTCTCATCTGTACATGATGGACTGATTCATCTTTGTAAATACTTCATGACACATCACAATAAAATGTCTTGTGTACCATCTTTCGTCTGTGGTTGGCAACATACAGATCATACACTTGAGATCTGTCAGCAAAGGTATGCTTGAGATATCTTTCGTCCTCCCCCCGCAGACACAGTGTGTAGTCCTGAGATATGTCTCTCTCTCTCTCTTTCCCCCCTCTGTAACATGTCCATTTCTGAGACTTAAACTAGCACAAGCACATCCACATCCGTTAGTGACAGGCGTCATCTGGGAAAAATATCTGATGATCAGACTATGACAGTCTTCAGTAAAGCTAAAGTTGTCAGACAACGACTGCCTAAATGGTCTGATGATAAAGGCTGCACTGCATGTTGACCAGTAAGAAGGAGCATATATGTTGACATGCTTTTGGCATTGAATGGACATTAATGGGTTTTATTGTGAGGTCTGGTGTTTTTCATCAGTCCGACGATGGATCAGATAACAAACATCATACGACTGACTGAGTTTAGTTTTACGCTGCTTTTAGCAATATCACGGGAGGGGACACCAGAAATGGGCTTCACACAATGTGCCCGTGTGGGGAATCGAACCCGGGTCTTCGGCTTGACAAGCCAACGCTTTAACCACGAGGCTACACCACTACCCGACTTCATACAAAGTACCAAAATAAACAATTATACTTGTACGTACACATGTGTTGGGTGATCTTATCACGGGTTAAACTTGGTGGAAACAACTTCCATGTATATCATCAGTGATTCTTCTGCCACAGGTTCCTCATATCTGTGACATTGTCACTTCCCGTGTGATATCCATTAGTTCAGTCAAGGCGAGGTGAAATGGGGTTTAAAGTCCTACTTAAGAATATTTCGCTCATATGACGACGTGCATGTGTGTGTATGTGTGGCTGCTTGTACTAGCCCAGACTGTTGTGTTTTTTTATAGTGCTAGCTCAATGAGGTACCATGCCACAGTTAAGCACTCAGACACAATATACTGACTCCGAGTTGACCAGTCCTTGTTGGACCCATTTATGCCGAGCACCAGGCAGGGACCAACAATTACAATATTTTAACGTCTTTTGCTGTGACGCTGATGGGGATCGAACCCACGACCTTCCGCTCACCGGGCGGACGCTCTAACCACTACACCACGGAGGGAAGACCAGTTAGACATTCACTCCCAATACAGGAGCATTTAGCCTGGTATCCAGCACAGGAGCATTAGAATTTGAGATCATTCCGAGACACGATAGTCAGCTGTCAGTCAACATGCTTGCCCCATCGTCTGTCTGGACAAACCTCGAGTGATTGGATAGCGTAACTGCTTTGTACCATGCCCACATTGGGTGTTTTCAAAATCTGCGCAGGATGTTTGAATTTGAAATCATTCTGTGTCACACAGCCGCGGTGTCAAGTCACGGGTGTTATAGACCTTACATGGTCACAAATAATTGACGAAGTTGACAATAATAGGCTGGAGTGGGATGATACAATCGAAGACATTTTTCTCACACGCTGCTGAGGTTATGGAAACTCAATCGGCCGTGTTAGATGGGTTGACTCAATTGTCAGTATCGAACACAGACGAAGTTGCAACGTTTCCCGAACTTTAAAACTATACACTTTACTCAGGTCATGACAAATTATGATGTAGACACGAGGTCTCGTTTTAGAATGAAGTAACTAAAGTAAGGACAGAAATTCTTGGAAAATGCTATTTGGCTTCAATATCACTACATGTATGATGAATTTGACACACAATATAAGCACATATATGATACATGTACGACTCTTCCTAGTTGGATATTAAAGCGCAGATGAAAAAATGCACTTGAGGGGTGACTTCACAGGAGGAAATTTTGACGTTTTAACAACATTCGTACAAACGGTAGTTTTGAAATACAGACTATAATTATTCATATAGCCTCAACTAATTAAATTATATAAATAAGTTGGGGTTTTTTAACATCTATTTGTGAAAAACATGGAACTCTTGTAGTAGTTATATTCAAAATAATTACTTTAAACAGTCTTAATTCAAATGGCATAGATAATCTTGTTCACCCATAGAAGTTTCACTTCGTGTATGCCCATTGAACTGGCGACTTGATATCTCAGCAGAACAATTAATTTCAAATTTATACCAGTATTTCATACTGGAGAAACAAAGGGCGAAACCTCTCGTCAGCTATGACAGGGTTTACTACAGAATGTGTAATGCCCTTAATTTGACATATAGTCAGTCTTACGAAGTTGTAAACAAATCAGTTACCTCAGGGGTCGTGTTAAAATCAAAACCAGGTAGGAAACACAAACTGGATAGCTTTGATAAGGGTGTCATACGCCGTGCAGTTTATAAACTGTATGAACGCAAAATCCCACCGACGTGTGCTAAAACACAAGATGAGATCAAAGATACAATAAATGTCTCGAAAACAACACTTATTGTAGCTCTGGTAGAAATGGGGTTCAGGTACACCAAAAGGGGAGATGACAGAGCTGTGTTTAGAGAAAAGTACTAAATCCTGTCCATGCGATCAGCTTATCTCAGAACAGTTGAATACCGCAATTTGGGGTTTCAAATTATATACCTGGATGAAACCTGGTGTAATAAAAATCACTCAACCGATCGGATGTGGCTTCCTTCAGATTGTTCTGAGGCACCAGTGTTTGCAAGGGACTGATTGGGGGTTGTGGATTTGTTTTTGTGGTCAAGAAATCTGATGGTGATTACCATAACGAAATGAATGGGCAGGTATTTTTGAATTGGTTCGAACATCAGCTTTTACCGCAGCTGGACGAACCAAGCCTTAACATTTTGGATAACGCCAGTTACAATAACCTGCGTGTCCCTGGTACCATCACACCCGCCATGAGCAATCTCAAGGCTCAGTTGCAGGATTTTCTCACTTCCTGTAACGTGCCTTACAGGCAATCAGAAACAAAGCCCAAGCTCATGGAAAAAATCCGGCAGCACAAAAAGCCAATCCAGTACATCACTGACGAACCAGCTGCAAAACAAGACCACATAGTTCTGCGTACACCAGTACGGCACTGTGATCCCAATCCCATCGAGCTGATCTGGGGTAACTGTAAGAATTTTATTGCTCGCAATAATACCACATTCACGCTTTCAGACGTTAAAGAGCCTGTGTATGCTTCTTTTGCGAGAATTACCCCAGAAGAGTGGCAAAAGGCTGAAGACCGTGTTCTCAAAATCGAAGACGAATACCGTCTGCGGGACGGCGTTAACGTCAGCCGAGTTGCACCTGTTGTAATTTCGCTAGAGTCCTCGACCAGCAGTCATACTGACACTTGATATTTTGAGACGGTCCCTGACATGCGCTGCCCGTGCGTTACATAACGCTGTCACCCTGTCTGCCTGCCAGGTGGGTCACAGTATAGTTGTTTCTTTGAATTGTTTCTACCATGGAATTTTTTTCTAAGTTTTTCGATATTTTACGAGTAATCATTATGATTAGGGAATGGTACATCGTCATTACTCATATGCCATATTAGGTCGAGGTGGTATGAATGATTATATATGAGTTTTGAATCTGAAATATCAACCATTATCAAATAATTGCCAAAAAGCATTTTCCAAGCATTTCTGGCCTTACTTTACTACAAGGTTTACATTCGATTGAGCTAGACTTATGTGCGTGGGAACAGTAGGCGTGGCTTGCTAACCTGCAGTGAGCCAATCAGATAGCCGCGGTGTAAGTATTAGTTAGATCATTTCAAACCGAGATCTGTGCTCGTATACACCACAGTTTTGCCGGAGTTGATTGACAGGTGGGAGACGCGAGAGCTTTGCTCGAGCTTCCTCAACACCTGTCAATCAACTCCGGCAAAACTGTGGTGTATACGAGCACAGATCGAGGATTGGATGAGCTAACTGACTTGTACCACGCCTATAGACCGATCCAGTCTCGGCCGATAAGCCCCGCCCATTTCGTTTTTGACGTTAGGGGGGGACAACCACTGGCAAATCACAATGGCGTCACCGCCGGCGAAACGTTACGTGATTGCGAACGTTGTTGATGAATTCTGCTTGTGATACTTTGGTATCCGTCGTTTGTGAATGTTATTTAAAGAGGCAAGTTATACGTATGTGATTTTTAATATATTTTAGCTGGCAGATTACAACTGGCGAGTGAAAATGAGTTACATGCCCGATGAAAAAGCGTCTCGACTAGCTGCTGAGACTGTAGGAAGCGTAATTTCTTTCGAATCAATTAATCTATCTGGCAATTCACCTCCGTCACAGATATTAGCAGGGAAAGGATAACTGAATTTTGTTGTTTGGGTTTATAATTTTTTAAAACTCGTGAACACAACCACATGGTCATGTTGCACATCGTTTCGGTATCTATTTAAGGATTGACTGTGTATTTCTTTCGTTGCATTGAGGTATGAAACTAAAAACCAATGTGCAAACTGTATGAATCCGCGTAGCGGAAAGGATAACTGAATTTTGTTGTTTGGGTTTATAATTTTTTAAAACTCGTGAACACAACCACATGGTCATGTTGCACATCGTTTCGAGTATCTATTTAAGGATTGATGAGTATTGATTGAGGTATAGAAACTAAAACCAATGTGCAAACTGTATGAATCCGCGTAGCGGATTCTTACAAAGTTTACACATTGGTTTTAGTTTCATACCTCAATGCAACGAAAGAAATACACAGTCAATCCTTATAATTAAATTCAACAACAAATACTATAGGCTTTCAACAATATTTTATTTAAACACAATCAAATTCATCGAAACAGAGATATCTTTGTTACCACCGATTTACGGATTAACATTTTCGGTGTAAGAATTCGGTAATGGCGTGACATGACTCAGGTGACTCATTTACATAAAATGACACGCCTACCAAACCATTAGCCAATCAGCATAGAGCACCCCAAACAGCTGTCAATCAACCAAGCTAACATCGGGGTTGCGAATCAGAGCGGAACAAGACAACGTGACGCATGCCGGTAACGGCAAAGTTTCAAGTTCAAACATTTGAATTATTACCAGCGAACTGAAAGACACAGTT